AGCAGGGAGCCCGATGCGGGACTCGATCCTGGGACTCCAGGATCATGACCTGAGCCGAAGGCAGTCGCTTAACCAACTGAGCCACCCAGGCGCCCCATCTTGCTTCTGATTTCTTGACCCAGAGCATAATCTATTCACTTTTCACTGGTTCCCTGAGGCTATGCTGCCAGAGGGCCCACATATCCATCACTTGGCTGAAATCATGGACTGAGACAAGCAAACCATGAGTCAATTCATCCAAACTAGATGATTTCTCCTTTGAATTTATCAGTGATTGGGATGAAATGATCAAATTTGTTGTGATATCTTCCGAGCTTAAGAAATCACTTCTGAAAACATTGGCCTGTATTGTTTCAACTTGTGAGATCTATAAGCAAGGTCTTGGGAGCTCAGCTGGACATCTTATCCAATGCCATTTGGCTAACTCAATTGACTTCTAAGATCATGATCTCTTTGAGAACAAAATTCCAGGAATGATGAGTCACTAATCACCATATATCTTTCAAAGTACCTCATCCAGTTTCCTACCCCAGGTAGGACTCTCCTCTGTAGCATCCCTGATAAATGATCACCCAGCCTCTACTTGGATACCTCTCTTGACAGGGTGCTCACTACCCCATGAGGCAGCCCCCGTTCATAAGAATAGTAGAGAATTTGCTCATTATCCTGATAAAGGTTAAACAAGAACTATTTAATGAGCTGGGTGATTAGGGGACAAGGTACTTCCCCCTTCTGGACCTCAGTTTCTTCATATCTACAACAGGGATAGAAACACTTACCCTGCCCACCTTAGTGTGCTGTTGTGAGCATCAAACAATACACTAAGTGTGAAATTGCCTTATAAACTGTAAAGTGATGAAACTATGTGAGGACTCCCTACTAACATCTAACTCCTTCTGTCATACTTCTTTGCTCACCAAACTCCTCTGTGATCTGATTGGGTTTCTGAGTGAGCTGGCCCCATGGAGGAATTCTCTGAGAAACTGACCATTGTCCATCGGGCTGTCAGAGAGAGCTTCCTCTCAGAGTAGGTGCTGTGGTTGGGTGACTCCATCTCTACTACCAAGTCAGCCCTCAGCACAGTGAAAAATGGAGTTGCCAGAGCTGTTAAGCCAAGATCTGGCCCTAAGACTGAGGTGGCATGCAAAGGACAGCTGTCGCCAAGCCACACAGATCAGCCATTATGCATGAGTCGCTGGTATTCGTGGAGCCATCCATCCATCCGTTGAATGTGAGGGGCCCGGGACATCCCTGTGCAAGGCCAGCCCACTCGTCTCTGCCTTCACGGAGCTTGAGTATTGCTCTGGCCATGTACCAAGGGTGTTTCTGCTAGAGCAGAAACAATAAAAGAACTTTACCCACCAGGATTTTCTGGATTTCTTCATTGTCACACTTCACGTGGTATTTTACCATGTCCTGGAAAATATCCTTCCTGTTTTCAAGTCTGTTCATTGACTCATAGGTGTCAGGGTTTAAGACGGACCAGCCCAGGAATTGAGCCAAAGACTGAAAGGAAAGAAAAGAAGAACATCCAGAGGCAGAACATCCAGGCTTGATCCTGTCTTTGCAACTTAGGGCAAGACTCCAGGATTCCATTTCCTCAGCTGTACGATAGGTTTGATCAGCTGGGTGTTGCCCTCCTCGAAGGGATGGTGTGAGGATGAAGATCAAACAATGGATGGGAATGCACTTTAAAATAAAGTTCCAACACACATAAAGCATCATTCTTATCTGTAATAACTTTACCCAAGTATGTGTACCCATGTGGGAACAGGAGGCATATGGGAACTCTGTACTTTCTGCTCATTTTTGCCATGATCCTAAAAATGCTAAGAGGTAAAGTTTATTAAGTAAAATTTGTTTCAAAGGGAATGTGGATTTCTCTGACAGCACATGGTAGTGCAGAAGTGGGAACAAAGAGAGCGGACGTTTAGGCTGAGTCAGAGTCGCATCGAAAAGGTAAGCTCCCACCCCTTCCCAAGTGAGGGCCCCCCACATGCTGGCAACAAGCCAACGCTGCAACCCAATGGCAAAGGCCTCCTCCCAAACCATACCTCCATGAGGGTCTCGTCCATCTCATCAAAGGGCTTCCCATCTTTGCGATTGTAAAACGTGGCCACCCCAACAATTTCTTCCTTCTTGTTCACAATTGGCATAGAAAGGACATTCTTAATCATCCATCCGGACTCATCCAGAGGCTCTTTCTACAGGAGAAGCCAGAGTAGGTTACAAATCTGTTACTGTTCAGGAGGACCTTTCATTCAGAAGTCTGGCCAGAACTGGCCCTAGAAATAGCAGTCAGAAAAGGACAAGGGAACAATAATTCTGTCTGCTTGTTATCAACAACATATGCAACAACAGAGGAGGAGCAGAGGGGTTCCAATGAGTTTAAATACCGTATAGTTCACCAGCCTCTGTGCATCAAAACTTTCAGACTTGCTGCCATGCCAGCTATTTAGGTCTGTTTAAAAAGTGCCTGTGCTTTCCAGGTAATATCTATAAAATGAAAACTGCAAAACAACTAGGGTCTGTGGGTAGGTGGTAAACAAAGCAGATTGTGGCTATGTCAACAAAACCTTTGGCTTAATGATGGGCTCTGTGCTTTGTTTTCCACCTGCCTGCTCTGAGAAGAGGTTAAGGTAATCTGGAGTGTTTCACCTGCTTCTGATCGTTCAGAGTCTCTCATTCACGGTGTCTCCCACACGCTACCAGTGCTGGAAAGGGCTTAACAAAGCCATCATTAAAGATCTTGTTTGTTTGTCTCTTGACTCTGTTTTTTTTTTTTTTTAAGATTTTATTTATTTATTCATAAGAGACAGAGACAGAGGCAGAGGGAGAAGCAGGGAGCCTGATGCGGGACTCGATCCCAGGACCCCGGGATCATGACCTGAGCCGAAGGCAGACGCTTAACCATCTGAGCCACCCAGGTGTCCCTGTCTCTTGACTCTTGACGTGACTTCCTGGGTTACTTTTGGCCTGTCATTTTATCTCAGTGGGCCTCAATTGTCTCATCTGTAGATGGGGATGGTAGCAAGAATCTCTGGCTCATGGAACAAATGAGACAAGGGAGCTGAAATATCTCGGTCAGTCGTAAGGTGTCCCTTTGTGAGTCATTTCCCCTCTGTCTGAGCCTCTCACTTTTATCATTTATAACATGGCAATGACTGGACTAGGTCATTTCTAGGCTCTTTTCTCATGGATTCGTAAAATATTAAATGTTTAACTGAGCTAGAAATCGAAAAACCAAGGCAAATGAAGCACAAAAGTTATCCTCAGTTTGCTCATAATCTGGAAGGTAAGCGAGCAACTGCACAGCAGGTGGGGAGTTTCTTATGGTTCTGGGGGAGCCAGAGGAGGGAAGGAAATCAAGGAAGGCTTCCTGTACTTGGAGAGTCTTCCAATTCCAAAGTTCTAAGATTCTTAAGGTGGTGAGATGGTGATGAGGATAATGATGATTTCAGTAACACTGGAACTCAGCACCTGGTGGGAAAGTGACTCCAGGAGGATGCAGATTACAGCCCAAAGAGCAAGGGGCTGTTGGTCAGGAAACATGAGTTCCAGCTCTGCCTTCCCCCCAAGTCTCTACCTAACCTTCGGGGAACCCCTTCCTTCTGAAGGCCATGATAAGGAGACAGGTTTTATTGAAAGCCAAACAAGAAAGCATTAAGGATTTTTAAGCAGAGAAGTTACTTGATGCAGCCTGAGTTTCGAAAAATTACTCAGGCTACTTTATAGAGGATGAGTTGGAGGAAGAAGCCTAGAATCTAAAAACAAGATCAAATTTGATTTTTTTAATGTGGGTAAATGGAATTAATTGGGTAGGGACCAAGTTCTGTATGGTTATAGTCAGGTTAGCCACTCTCGGCAACAGTTGGAGCTCGTCACACAGATACGATCAAAATCCCAACACAAGACATACAACGTTAACTTTGGAAGGATATCCTTGCTAAGCTCTTTCATGATGTTCCTCAAAGAGTAAAAAAATAATTCACTAATTTTTCTAAGAGTCATTATTTTCTTCTTAATTATTTCCTAATTGCTAATGCTTTGTTTTTCTTCCATCTGGCGGGCTAACCTCAACAAATATTGACAGGCCACCTGGAGCTGAAGATATTAAGAAAGATAAGGCCCAACCTTTAACCAAAGGAAACTGATATTCTGCTGAGAGGAATTAATCTGAAAGCAAAAAAGGGTAATAAAAGATAAAGTAAGGGGAATATAGTATGGAGAACTCCAGGCCACGTGTCATCTGTCCTCGCTGTGTGTCATCTGGCTTTGGTCTACTTCTCTAGAATCTCCTCCTGCCACTCTCCACGCTACCTCTCACTTAGATTCATAGGGCTACTCTAGGTCCTTCCAACAAGCTCTCTCTTTCCTGTAGTCTTCTCTCCTTTCTTTGCTGCCCCAACATAATTGCTCAGGGACATTCCTTGATTCCTTCCAGATTAAGTCAGGTCCCCAGAAAGATTCCCTCCTCTATCCTTCTGTCCTTTTTTGACCAGCACTCCATGGCCTTTCTCCCCATGGAGATAAAGACCATGTCTGTCTGGTCCACCATTGCGGCCAGTGTAGCCCTGTGTCAAATCCTGGCACAGAGAATGCCCTCCATAAACACTTGTGAAAAAGACAGATAAAATCAAATGGAGTGCTAAACAGTATTCCATGAAAATCCCAAAGAGACAGAAATGATATTAGCCAGAGGAAACAGAATAAGACTTCATAGAAGTTTCATAGCATTTGAGGTTGTACTGAAGGGCAGAGAGTATTTGGGCAGGACAGGATGGTTCCAGGGCAGGGGAACAACATAAGCAAAGGTCCAGAGGCCAGAAAGCAAAGCGTGTGAACATTAAAACCAAATGGAACCTTGGAATTTACCAAAGTAACTCCCTCCCCACTTCCATGGGCACATGGCTTTTTTTCCATCCGTGTTTTTTTTTTTTTAAAGATTTTATTTATTTATTTGAGAGAGAGAGAATGAGAGA